GTGAAAAAATTTGACTTGAAAACAATTTATTATTTTTATTTTTTTTTTCCTTTCATTTCTCTCTCTTTCTCTTTTTTTACTTTTTTAAAATTTTCTTTTTTTGTTTCCCTTAATAAATTCATCTTTCCAAAGAGATATCACATTTTAGTTATACATTTCTCTTTATCGATTTCATACACTTTTCAATAGTAAAATAGTCGGATACGTTGTCCTTTGTTATTTTTTTTTTTTTTTTATTTTATTTTCTTTTTCAGGTACGAGAATATGCGTTGAACAACACGAGGATGACGAGGAGGATGAGGATGAGGAAAGTGAGGAGGGAAAAGGAGGTGGTGGTGGTGGTGGTGGTGGTGGTAGTAGTAGTAGTAGTAGTAGTAGTAGTAGTAGTAGTACTAGTAGAGGTAGAAGAGGAAGAGATGGTAGAAGAGGGAACTTGCTCGTGGGTATTGGCAGATGGAAACTATCGACGTCCGTCGACGGCGGAAGTGCTGCTAGAACGGCGATGAATTCGAGCTGCCACGGGAAATGGATAGGCGATTCAAGGCTCCTCATCGATTGCGACGATCCAAGTTGTGGAGAAACCACGACGACGCGTCTACGAGTTTCTAGACGCCTACGGAGAAGCTTGGAAACTCGAGATGATCTAAATGAGGATTATGATGACATGGAGGATGATTTTAGGTGGACCAAACCAGTCGGAGAAAGATTCAGAAGGTGGAGGAGAAGTAGACGACGAAAGAGGAGCAGAAGAAGAAGAAACGACGAACTTCTTAAATCTTAATCACGATAATGATGATGATGATGATGATGATGATGATGATGATGATTTTTTATTTTCTTTTTTTATAATATTTCTCTTTTTTTTTGTCCAAGTGATTTTCGTTTCTTTCCTCCGCACTTTCTGTTCTTTCTTCTTTGTCCCTTCGTGATATTTTTTTTCCTCTTCAACAGTGTTTGTTGAACGCCTAAAAGTTCCCATTCCAAACGAAGTTTTGTCCTTAGAATAATTAATTGTCATTGTTTTCTTTCGTTCTAATTAACTAAAAAATACTATTTACGATACGAACACTAAGATAAAGATATCTCTTTGTCGATATGGAAATTTATGAAGAAATTGAGTATATAAATAAATGAATAAATAATTGAGTGTACGATCCTGAAACACAGAGGTATCATCGTAGTACCATTCTCCTTTGTATTCCTTCTTTTTAATGAAACTATGGGATAACGAATACATCGTTGCGTGATGAATTGTTATTAGGTTGAAATGATTTAGGCGATGTCTCTAATTTAGAGATGGAACAAAGTGATTAGAAATTTGGTTAGGTGAATGGACCAGAGAGGAACTCTCGGAAAATTTGAAAGGGTAAGCCAAGTTACTAGATACTATATATACATTTGTCGATACACGCCAGCTCGCGTTATCGAAAGAGATAGATACATAGGTAGATAGATAGATAGATAGATAGATAGAAAGCTCGACGACGAGATGAGCAAAATGTAAAAGCAGATCCCGTCAATAAAGAGTACTTGCACTTACCAGCAAGCACCATTTCGAGATTATTTTGACAACTGAAATGTTCTTGAAACTTTAGCTCGTGTGTATGTCCTCTCTTTCTCTCTCTCTCTCTCTCTCTCTCTCTCTCTATATATATATATTTCCACTTTTGTATCGCTTTTTATTCGACTTTTGTAACGAAAATTTTTCTCTCTTTTTTCTTCTATATATACTTATTCCTTTTTATTTTTTAACCGTCTCATGATCTCAATACATCTACAACCGCGAGGATAGAGATGATGATACTGAAAGCAAAAGCTCATTGCATCGAAGAGGTTGCTCCTTGATTGAATTGCTTTTTTCCTCATCCGGTCGTATACACATCGTGTGTCATTAATCTTGAAGCTAAAAGATTGATAATGAATGAGTCTGTAAAATGATCGTGCAGTTTAGACTTTTTCTTTATTCCGAATAAATGTGCGAGGTAGTATGTGAAATGAAAAAAATCTTATTAGAAATTATAATCTGTCGGGGATTATTAAGGAAATTAGAGTGGTTAATTTTTGGAAAAAGGAAAAAGTATTATCACAGTATTATCATTAGAAGTTACCGATTATAGAAACAGGACAGTTTTGAAAACAGGAAGAGATAGTGAATGAAAAAAGGAAAAAATAAGATAAGAATCGTCACGGTTCTTAAGCATGAAAAATATTTTTTACAAATGATTTTGTGGTTACAACGTGCCGTGCGGTACCATTCTGTTGGTTTCTTTTTTCCTCAACGAACGATATATAAAAGGAAAGAACCGAGTTCTATTTCTTCAGAAGAAATCGAAGAATCGAAGGATTTACATATAGTAATAGTTGCTTCAAATTTCTGCCGATAGTATTATCGTTTTCGACGTACCGTCAGCGTTATTTCTTATTATATATAAAATTTATTTCGACATTTACACGGCTTCGACATGTCGGACAACGATTCTAAGTCAGGAATTCTCTATCTTTTCGATCGGCCTGCCGAACCAGTTTATGTGCCTAAAGGAGACAAACGTGTCGCTTTTGACATACCACCTGATTACTTGGTACGTACAATTCGATAGAAATCACATGATATATATATATATTTTTTTTTTCATTTTATGCGATCTTTATTTCATGTGTTTTTTTCGACGTGTTTCTATATTTCATTTTTATATCGCACATATAGCCCGATCAATATCGCCCTGCTGCTGTTGACATATTCAATCGATTCGGCGAGACAGCTGATTCGAAGATATCCGTGAAGCAGATTAGTTTACCAGATCTTACTATTCCCTTGCAACTTGGACGTAGAGAACCCTTTTCTTTGTTCATTCCGGCTCATCGTAAAGTAGCTGCTCGTCTGATTGATATATTCATGGGTTTGTTTGTTTCCCTTCTTTCTTTTTCAATAAAATCGAACGAATCGATGTAGTTTTATTTATGTAGTACTTTACGGACTTTAGGTATGAGGACCTACGAGGACTTCTTATCGGTATCAGTTTATTGTCGTGATCGAATGAATCCAAATATGTTTATTTACGCTCTCTCAGTCGCTATACTACATCGTCCGGATACAAAGAATCTACCGATTCCTCCACTGCACGAAGTATTCCCTGATAAGTATATAGACGGTGGTATTTTTTCTCGTGCTAGAGAAGAAGCAAACATATCGTCCGCTGGTCAAAGGGTAAGGATCGAAATAATTAGACTTTTTTTTTCGACTTGTAACGTTAAGGTCAATCAACGAGAGAAGGATGAAGATTAGTTGCAACGTGTTTCTTATTAGCTATAGTAATCTCAGTTGATCTCATTTTGATAGAAGACGAAGCTCCAACATACATAGGTACGTTTAGTTCGTATTACCTTGCATTTAGATTCCCATCGAAATCCCACGGGATTATACTGCTTCCGATCTCGATGAGGAGCACAGAGTCGCTTACTGGAGGGAAGATATCGGGGTCAATCTTCATCACTGGCACTGGCATCTGGTATATCCATTCGAGGCCGACGTCAGGATCGTTAACAAGGATCGACGTGGGGAGCTCTTCTACTATATGCATCAGCAGATCCAAGCCAGGTGCGCCAGTAGCTAGTCATAAGCCGGATAGATCGTACGTTCTCTATAGTATACTACTACCGTCCCTAGCTTCTACACATTGAGCTAATTAACTTTTCATCCCTTACACTATGAAAGCCCTTTGATCGTTGCTAACCGATTGTTCGGTTTATTGAGCATGTATCGGTTGTGTCCGATGATACGAGAAATTTGTATTGATCGATTGATTTCTAAGATCGTTAACTTTCGAGAAGAAAAGAAAAAAACGATAAAGATAATAGAAAAAGGAAAGATAGCAAAAACGCGTCGATAAAAATTAATCTAATTATAGATAGTAAATGAATTGGTATATATACATATATATCTATCCAGATATAATTGCGAACGTCTGTGCAACCGATTGGGACGCGTTACACGATTGATAAACTGGCGAGAACCTATTCCTGAAGGATACTTCCCAAAGTTGGACTCATTGACCGCAAGTCGAACCTGGCCGGCTCGTCCTACCGGTGCCGTTCTCCGTGATATCAGCAGGCAGGTCGATCAATTGGACTTTGACATTCAGGATTTGGAGAGATGGCGAGATCGCATTTATGAGGCCATTCATACCGGATCGATCATCAATATCAAAGGAGAAAGAATACCGCTTACGGAAAAAAGTGGTATTGACGTTCTTGGAAACATCATGGAGTCTAGTATACTAACTCCTAATTCGAATCTATACGGTGATCTTCATAATCTTGGTCATGTATTGATCTCTTACGTTCATGATCCGGATAATCGTTATTTGGTAAGGACAACAACCTGTTGAATGAACAAATGTTAGCCTATGAGTATGAGTTAGAACATTGTCTATCGTTGTTCAGGAATCTTTCAGTGTTATGGGTGAACCTGCTACAGCTATGAGAGATCCAGTATTTTATAGATTCCACGCATTCTGTGATGATATCTTTCAAGAACATAAAAATACCTTGCCCGAGTATAGCGTACAACAAGTAAGTTTTCTTATTATTGTAATATATATCATTAATTTAATATCCAATTGGTACGTCAAACTTTTATTCGAAAAAGAAAATGATAAATGATATCATTTCTCGATTGAGTTTATTTTTTGATATTTATATTTGTCGTCTTGTTTCCACTATCGTTGTAAAATTGAACGCTCATTAATGAGTTTGGAATATTATTTACTTCTTCATGCACGACTTGTATCTCTCTTTTTATTTGGCGTTCATTAAAAATTACAAGTACATAGTTAAATATTAAGAAATCAAGATTTAATATTTCTGAAATTGAAATTCTTTTTTCTTACACTTTTCAAATATATGTATAATAATATATCCCGAGTTAGAGAACATTTTCAATTGAAATAAATTTTTTCATTTTTCAATGGATTTTTACGTTCTTTTATTTCCCACTCTTTGTAGCTAGATTTTCCAGGAGTAGAGATCACTGATATTCGAGTGACTACAGCAAATCAACCTCCAAATAATCTGTACACCTTCTGGAACAAGAGCGATATCGATTTGTCTCGTGGCCTCGATTTCACGCCACGTGGTCCAGTCCTCGTCAGATTCACTCATCTCAACCATTCAGATTTCACCTATAGGATCGTTGCAAACAATCGCAATAATTCACCTAAAAGGGGTACCGTTCGGATATTCATGTCACCTAAAGTAGATGAACGTGGCTTGCCATTCACTTTCAGGCAACAGAAAAATTTGATGATGGAAATGGATAAATTCACGGTTATGTGTAAGTGAAAATAATTATTATGATTTATTCTTTGAATTTTACGTGATTGAAGATTTTAATGTAAAAATACGAATACATTATTTACAACAAATGGAAAACATTAATATTTAACAATGAACATGTTCTTAATGAGACAATTTTTATTTTATTATTCATTATTCTGTTATATGTTTGTAGTACGTCCTGGCCAGAATAATATTGAGCGTAGTTCGAACCAATCCTCGCTAACGATTCCCTTCGAAAGAACCTTCCGTAACGTTGATGAGAATAGACCAATCAGTGGTGACAGTCTCGAACAGTTCAACTTCTGTGGTTGTGGCTGGCCACAACATTTGCTTATACCTAAAGGAAGCAAAGCTGGATACACTATGGATCTCTTTATCATGATATCTGATTACACTGGTGATGCGGTAGGTCTCTTTTATATATATATATATATATTTATTAATTGGATTTATTACACGAACGAATCGATATTATTTTTGATATATTTGAACAGTGACAATTATGCAAAATTTACAAAGCTAATATTCATTTATCGTAAGGTAATTATTTCGATTTTTGGAACACTATATATATATATATACATATACATATATATGTCTAGCCATCGCTATTTAACGGTAAGAGGTGGTCAAGCGAACGCAGCATTATTATCATTGAATTAATAACCGAATTACAACGTACCTTTTGCGTGCACAATGGAGTTCCACGTTTACCTTGATCCTTTCGATTGACGGAGTACGGTAAAATCCTTTGTGCGAGTTCATCAAACGGGTATATTTAATCGTTCGTAAAATGCCTTCTATCTCTTTCTCTTTATTTCTCTTTCGTTAAGCTATATTTGAAACATTTAACATTTAAAATCGTAGACAATATAGTGCAAGTTTATATGGCGTATAGATAAGTTTATTTATCGATAGGATTAATCCAGTTCTCATTTCGATCAAGAGAAAAGTTGATGGGTATTACAATTGGGAGTTGTACGAATACATCGAAAATTCGATCAGCTTTAATAATCGCTCGAATCTTAGTTATTGTGTTTGCTCCTCCTATGTCTATATTATAGGAGAAAGCTATGCCCGGGGTATTCGATAACCGATATTCAACAACATTCCGTTGTCCGAGTCCGTGCACGAAGGGAATATGTAGTTATCGAAACGTTGGAATAGTCATGCGAGTTACCCTGTTTAAACTAGTATTATCCGGGGATATTACTTGGGTCTCTGTGTCTCGTTTGTTTAATAAGATTTGATTGGGATTGTCTCTTTTAACGTTGAAACGTTTTTGCTAGGTCAAACTTATTGAAATATTATCGGAGGATTGTATTTGAAAGGAATAACGAGATCAAAGGAAAAAGCGCTCATAATTGAATTTTATTCACTTTGATCATTTTAGGTAGAACAGGAAGAATCTAGCGGTTGCAAGGATGCCGCGAGTTTCTGCGGATTGAGGGACCGCAAATATCCGGATGCACGTCCCATGGGTTATCCGTTTGATCGTAGACCACGTGCTGGCGTTGATAATTTGACACAATTCCTCACCGGGAATATGGCGGTCACTACGATAACCATAAATTTCACCGATTCGGTCGTACCAAGGACTAGATCGGGCAGCATGAGTAATACATTGAACTTCGCTTAAATTGGACTCCTTCGATTATTTTTTTTTTTCTTTTCACGCTACTTTCGTCTCTATGGCTTATTGGATGGGGATACTCGTGATTTCACGATCTTCATGGGATGAAACTAATCAAAGGGAAAACGGAGAAACGATTATTCCCCGTACATTTTTTTTATTTTTTGGTTTGTTTGTTGTAATCGAACGAGAAAGTCGACGTTCATAGAAGACAAAAAAAGTAAAAAAAGAAGACAATTTTATTTTCTTTCGTAATCAATGATTGTAAGCTTAGAAATTGGTATATTCGATTTAGTAATCTCTTTTCTTGATACTATCTGGATCTTCTATTCTCTCGGATTTATTTTTCTAAGAGAGATCACTGAAAGATCCTTGGTTGGCAAGATGAAAACACGGAAATCAAAACCGCGTAGAAAATCGAAACATTATCCGTTTTCCGTCTCTCTATCTCTCTCTTTTTTCTTCCTAGTCGGTTATCATCCTTTTATTCTATGTTTATTCGTGATAACGATATCCTCGTTCTTGTTTCTCATCCTTCTTGCATTATTGCACCGGAGGAACTAGATTGTAGAAAGCAAATGAAAAAGGACAAAAAAAAAAAAAGAAATACGATGAAATAAAGGCAAAGGCGATTATGCAGATTATTTGACGTACTTTTTGAGTTCTGTTTCTATCTCTTTTTCTTTCCCTCTTTCCTTTTCATATTCACTTATTTGCCCTCTTTCTCTCTCTCTCTCTCGCTCTCTTTTTCTTTTTTTTTTTTTTTTTTCTTCTTTTTTGTGAAGGTTCAAGAAAACATAAATTGTCCCATCTTCCTTCATCTTTCCTCTTGTAACAACATGATATAACGACGTATTATAATCCCAAGTACATATCTGATGTTATCCAGAGGAACATTATACGACATTTTCTTCCCTTCGGAATGCATTTATTCCCGCACGTTTGTTTCTCTCTACGGAAAGTCCTGCGGCGACCAGACGAATGCGGATTTACGCCCGAAGGAGAAAAGAAAAATATATCTATCTTATATATGTATGCATGTATGTACCTACCTACGTGCCGCGACGACGAAGATGGATATACGCTGTTACCAACCCGACTTGAATTTTCCTCGTGGAATAATCCTTCATTTCTTTTTTTTCTTTTTTTTTTTTTTTTTCTTCTTTTTCTTTTCTCACTCGTTTTTATTCCTTTCCTTCCTTTTCGTTTCGTAATTTCTTTCTTTTACACACATCCACTTTATACGCATACATACACGTACACAACACTCTTTCTCTGTCTTTCGAGATGAGGCCATTAGCTAGCATGAAGATAAATAGAAATGCTGTAACACTTTATTATTGAATTAGCATGTAGTATTCGTTAATTAGATTTTATTTTCAATAAATCTTACGACTGATCATTCAAGATTCTTTTTAATTTCTTGCTTTTATTTTTATCTAGTTTGACGTTTTACGTTCTCTTTTTTCATTTACTTTTTCTAGATAGATTTTTCAGGAGTAGATATCACTGATATTCAAGCGATTACAGAGGATTATGCTCCAAATAATCTGTACACCTTCTGGAACAATACCAATATCGATTTGACTGATGGCCTCGATTTCAAGACAAGTGGTCTAATCCCCGTCAACGTCACTTATCTCAATCATACAGAATTCACCTATAAGTTCGTTGTTATCAATAGCAATAATACACCTAAAACAGATACCGTTCGCATATTCACATAGAACAGACAAACTGCGTGGCAAACATACCATTCAATTTTAGCGAAGAAAAAAATTTGATGATAGAGATGGATAAATTCACGATTATGTGTAAGAGACAATAATTATTATTATTTATATTTTGAATTATCGCGATTGAAGATATTAATTATAAAAAGTATAACAATGAATATATTATTTAAATCAAATCATGGAATTCATTAGTATTTAACACTTAACATATTAATGAGACATTGTATTTTATTATTAATTATTTTATTGTATGCATGTAATACAACCTGATCAGAATAATATTGATCGTAGTTCGACATAATCCTCGATAATGATTCTCTTCAAAAGCATTTACAATAACATTAAACCGAATGAAATAGTCAAAAGTCAGATTATCTTCTGTGGCTATGATTGGCCACAATATTTGCTTATATCTAAGGAAAAAAAACTGGATACGCCATGGATCTTTTTATCATGATATCTGATGAGATTGATTATGCAGTAGGTTTTTTTTTTTTTTTATATGTGCTTATCGTCGAACATTTATTAATCGTATTTATTGCGCAAATGAATGGATATTTTCGATATATTTAAACAGTAATAATTATGGAAAAATTACCAAGCTAATATTCATTTATTGTAAATTAATTGTTACATCATATATAATTGTTACATCATCATATATGTATGTATGTATGTATGTATATATTTAGCCATTGCTATTTAACGATAAGAGGCGGTCAAGCGAACGCAGCATCATTATCATTGAATTAATAACCGAATTACAACGTACCTTTTGCATGCACAATAGAGCCCTACGTTTACGTTGATCCTTTTGATTGATGGAGTACGGTAAAACCCTTTGTGCAGCTCCATCAAACGTGCATATTTAATCGTTCGTAAAATGCCTTACTATCTCTTTCTCTTTATTTCTCTTTCGTTCAGTTATATTTGAAACATTTAACATTTAAAATCGATGGCAATATAGGACAAGTTTATGGAGTGACTTTATTGATGAATTTGATCTAGTTTTATATCACTTGGATCTCTGGATCACGATTCTTTAATAAAATTTGATTGAATTGTCTCTCTTAACGTTGAAACGTTCTTGCTAAGTTGGTTTCTATTGAAATACTATCGGAGGATTGTATTTGAAAAAAATTTTATTCACTTTGATCGTTATAGGTGGATTATCCTACTAGTTGCAAGAATGGCGTGAATTACTGCGGATAGAAGAACAAAAAATATCCGGATATACGCTCCGTTTGATCGCAACGCACATGCTGATGTTAATTATTTGAAATCATTCCTTATCGTCGATATGGCTACTACTACGATAACCATAAACTTCAAAGATATGATCGTACCAAAGAAAAACTAAATCGGTAAGCATTGAGTAACACATTGATCTTTACTTAAACTGGACTCCTTCGATTATTATTTTCTTTTCGTTCTACTTTTGTTTCTATGGGTTATTGGATGGGGTTATTCGTGACGTCACGATCTTCATGGGATGAAACTAACCAAAGGGACGACGGAAAAACGATTATTCCTCGTACATTTTTCTTTCCGATCTTATACATTTTTTTTTTTTTTTTTTTTTTTTTTTTTTTTTTTATCATTTTTAGTTTGTGCAATTGAACGAGAGAGTCGAGTCGACGTGTAAGGAAGACAAAAAAGAAGACAATTTTCTTTTCTTTCGTAATCAATGATTGTATGTTTAAAAGTTGGTATATCCGATCCACGAATCTCTTTTCGATACTATGGGAAATTTTATTGTATTGGATTTATTTTTCTAAGGGAGAATACTGAAAGATCCCCTCGGTTGGACTAGATAGAAACACGGAAATCGAAACCGCACAGAAAATCGAAACGTTATCCGTTTTCCGTATCTCTTTCTCTCTCTTTTTCTCTTTCCTAGTCGGTTATCATCTTTTTATTCTATGTTTATTCGTGGTAACGATATCCCCATTCTCGCTTCTCATTCTTCTTGCATTATTGCACGGGGAACTGGATTGTACTGAGCAAATGGAAAAAGACAAAAAAAAAAAAGAAAAAAAGAAAAAGAAATGATAAGATGAAAAAAAAGAAATATGATAAAATAAAAACAGTGATGATTATGCAGATTGCTTGACGTAATTTTTGAATTCTATTTTTATCTATCTATCTCTCTCTCTCTCTCTCCCTATCTCTTTCTTTCTTTATTTCCTAATGGTTTAAAAAGAAAAAACATAAATTGTTCCATTTTCCTTCATTTTTCCTCTTGTAAGAACATGATATAACGACGTAATATAATCCCAAGCACATATCTGATATTATCCAGAGAAACATTACTCGACGTTTTCTTCCCTTCGGAATGCATTTATTCTCACGCGTTGGTTTCTCTTTACGGCAAGTCCTACGACGACCAGACGAATGCGGATTTAACGCCCGAAGGAGAAGAGAAATATATATATATATATATCCTATCTATGCATGTATGTGATCTACTTGACGCAACGACGATGATGGGTATACCTTGTTACCAGCAGCACGACTTAAATTTTCCTCGCGAAATAATCCTTCATTTCTTTTTTTTTTTTCTTTTCTCAATTATTTTTATTTCTTTTCTTTCTTTCCGTTTCGTAATTCCTTTCTTTTTCGTACATACACGTACGTATTTACATTCTCTCTCTCTCTCTTTCTCTCTTTCTTTCTCTCGTTCTTTATCTCCCTTTCTCTCTAACGGCGATTATTCAATGACGACGTTTATGTTCTCCTGTCGTCCCAATTCAGGACGTTCATTCGAGTAACTCGTTTCTTGTAAATGAAAGCTCACCGAAGGGTGATAACTGCATTAATGCGTTTAATTTCGTAAGGTGAGGAATATTTCTCTTTCATTATTAAATGAGAAAGACGAATGAAGCAAGAAAGGGAAAGAGAAAATCAGTAGTGAAGTCCTTTACTAATTAGAAGCAATTATAAATGGTCATGCCCATTTGTATTATCTATGTATAATAATACAGTACGAACAGTCGACGTCTATTGTTATATAATGGTGTTATATTTGAAATATATACATACGTATATAGTTACATATAATTATACTATTGCATACATAAGGATAACGAAGGAAAACACGATTTAGTTACATTATATATGTATAATTGACGTATACGAATTATTGACTCCAATTAATTTTATTAGTAATTTCTAAAAGCCCGAGGTTATTAGTATATTCTTTGGTTATTTTAATATATATATATATATATAAACAGATATTGATCTTTATTCACTGGTAATAATAATATGTTGATTCAGCTATGCGCTTGAGTAAATAACATGTTACGTATATATTCTCTGACGATATTTAATTGTTGAAAATTTAATGAGCAACTTCTTTTCTTCCCGTACATCTTCGCATATATATATATATATATATTAAATTAATGACTCATAGTCTGTTTTTCTCTTTGTCTTTTTTTTTTTTTTTTTTTTTTTCTAACAAAGTTTTATTGAAATTAAGAAGACTATTTCGATGACTTCGATATTTTCCATGGCATGTTTTTTCTTTTCTTTTTTTTTTCCTTTCTTTGTTTCCTCTGACGTAATGTTCGAAATGAATCTTATAAAAGGCACACCCTATATATATATATATATATATATATATATATATATATATATATATATATATATATATATACAAAAGCTACGCGCGAGATCTTTCGATTGCAGTAACGCGTTCATTCATTTATACGTGTCAGATCTTACGATAGGGACCAGAGTAAGGGTTCGGTATCGTGAAGAAGTTAAAGTAAGAAGTCGAAGTTCGTGGTGAAAGAATTTCTTTCTCGATGGGAAACCTTTTTCAATATCGCTCGCTAACGTAGGCTCGATAACCCGAGGACAAAAGAATCGAATTACTTAGGTCAACGACTTTCTAAAGTCTGGAAGCGGAAAAAAGGGTCTTCAAATTAAATAGCAAGAATTTAATATGGCTGCTTCGTTCGTTCAAGATTGTGTTGGTGGGGTCGGAGGGGTGGTCCACAAAGGGCCGTAGTAGGATAAAGAAGGAAAGATGAAAAGAAAAGAGAGAGAGAGAGACAGAGAGAGTATATGTGTATGTGTATGTATATGTATATGTATGTATGTGTGAAAAGAATGTCGAAGTAGCTAAGAACTTCTGCTAAACTTATTTGAAATTAATTTAGAATTTTAAGGGATTTACACCCTTCCTCTCCTCCTTCTCCTCCTCCTTCCTCTACTTCTTCTCCCCGTGTAATTTAACAGCCCATTTAAAAATTAATTCATTTCCTTGATTCCTCAAGAATTTCTACTTGAATTATTTCGAACGACGAATCGACTATAAAGGACAGAAAACGGAGAAACATTGAAAATCTAATCTTGTCTACTCTTTATCCTTTACGAAATATTTTATCCGAAACATCCTTAAAGGAAAAAAAAAAATAAAGGAAGAAAAAAGAAGAAAAAAGTGAAAACTATTTGGATAGACACAATAAAGACAATCTCGTCGTCATCATTGAGATCTTCCGGCCTACCACAGGATCGATAATAAAGTAGAGAAAGAGAAAAAGAAAGAGAGACAGAGAGAGAAATTTTCTGGCACGAGTAGGAGGTAAAGGATGAAGGTTTAGAGAGGCAAAGAGGAAGAGAAGGAAAGAAAGAGAGAGTGAGAAAGAGAGAGAGAGAGAGAGAGAGAGAGAGAGAGAGAGAGAGAGAGAGAGAGAGAGAGACATAGTGTATAAACGTAGCCACGTTAAAGGAAATAACGAAGGTCGCCGTAAAAGCTCGCGTAACTTGCGGGCATGGGGTCGCCGGATAAAAACGAAAGAAAAATGGAGGAAAAAAAAGGAGAAAGGAAAAGAATAAGAGAGGGAGGAGAGAGAAAGAGAAAGAAGGGAAGCAAAAAAGCAGGCACGGTATTGAATAACGGGCGTCATAATTAATAGCCTCGCGACACGTATGCATGACGATAAATTCCCGAGTTATATTGAGCGTCTCGTGGTGAGAAACTATGCAAATAACCTGCTGAGTTTAACTTTATAAGTTTAATGATTAACGGGCGAGAGGTCAAGAGGGGTGAAAGTTAGTGGAGGAAAAGGTGGAGGAGGAGGAGGAGGAGAGGATGTTTTGGCCGAATGGTCAAACGAAAGGAAAGGTTCTCGGTGCAGGAAGTAGGTGGTGACGTTGCGAGTCTTTTTCTCTTTCATAGCTTTCCTAGAACGAGTAAGATGGTGTGATGAAGGATGATGGCTAGAGGATGATAGGGTTAAGAGGGGTGAGTTGATGATGGTATGCTAATTTTAATGGGATAATTTGCCGAGGAGTCGCGCAAGAGATAAGAGCATCCTTGGAGAAAACGGTTCGCGTTCCATGACTTCGATTCGTCCTCGTACGTTCAACTTCCTGTCCAATTACGTTAATTAACGTAATTGCAAAAGGGTGGAAAGGGAATTAAAGTGCAAAGGTGCTCGAACGAAACGCTCCACGACGTGTACGATGACGTTTAAATAACGACGAACGTAGACGCAGAGACGACGACGACGACGACGACGACGACGACGACGACGACGACGACGACGACGAGGACGAGGACGACGACGACGACGACGAATGGGAACGAATGGGGACGATAATTAATCTTTCACAGTCCATAAAAGAGGCATAAACTTTGCTACCACGAGTTACGACGAGGGCCATGCGTATGTAATTACCGGTGAGAATATATATATATATATATATATATATATATATATATATATATGTATATATATATATAGAAAAGAAGTTATCCATGTCAAACGTCCTCTCTCGATTCACTTCACTTTTCTATTTCCCTTTTTCTTCTTTTTCTCTTTCTTTTTTTTTTTTTTTTTTTTTTTTATTTTTTTTCCACTTTTTTTTCATTTTTCTTTTCTTTCAATTTCGTGATGCTTATGAAGACTTTCTATTTTTACCATCCCATATTTTTTCTTCTTTTTTCTTTATTCAGAATGAGTATAAATCAAGCTCTCATACAAACGGTACGATATATATATATATATATATATATATATATGATAGGGGTGAAAGAGAGAGAGGGAGGGAGGGAGAGAGAGAGAGAGAGAAAGAGAGGGAGAGAGTTAGAGTTAGAGTTAGAAGTTTCTATGTACCAAAGGGGAAAGCTTTCCGCGATTCAACGTAAATTGGATCGTCGAACGGATCGAGAGATCATTCGAAAAGATCATATCTAAACGTCAAAGCACTCTCTCTTGAGCCACGTGACTCTGGATTCGAGTGGACGTGCTTATTGGTCGTTCGATGTAGTACAAGCAGACTTTTCTTCTTCTTCCTTTTATTTTTTCTTTTTCTTCTTCTTCTTCCTCTTCTTCATGGACTCCCCAACTCTCCTCCTGGGACGAGGAACGAATCAAAAGTAGGAAAAGACTTCGTACTTACGAAGGAAAAGATTCTCGTGGGAGTTCAAAAAAGATAGAGAGAGGGGAAGGGAGGAAGGAAAATCGGTGAGAATTTGTCTATCAGCACTTTTGTTTTTTTCACTCGACGTGGTACTTGCACGAAAAATATAGAGATGAATAGGTTTCTTCTTCTTTTTCTTCTTCTTCTTCTTTTTTTCTTTTCTTTTTGAAAACAACCTAATTCTTTTAGTACATTTTTCTTCTCCTCCTCTTTTCTTTTCTTTTCGTTATTCTTTTTTTTTTTTTTTTTTTTTCTGAAGAGCAATCGCAACCGTCAAATAATTCTTTAGAAAGATTGTGATCTTCGATTAATCTTTTAAAAAGAAGGAAAAATAGTTCGACATGATCGAAGTTCACCGATCGTCTTCCTTCTTTCTTTCTTTCTTTCTTTCTTTTCTTTTTTTTTTTTTCTTTTTTACTTCTTATTCTTCGTCCATCGCATAACAAAAAAAAAAAAAAGAAAAAAGGAGAGAAAAGAACTTCGTTGCGGTCGTCATGCTGTCGAAGATAAATCAAGTTTGTCCGCAGGTACCGCGGTTCAGGACAAAGTTATTATAGTTTCGATTCGATTACCTCGTCGGTACTGACGGTTACGGGCGGAGAAAACGAGAATCTTCCTTCCTGCTCTTTCGCTAACCTTCTTCTTTTTCAACTTCTTCCAGTACTTTTTTTTTCTTTTTCCTTCTTCTTCTTCTTCTTCTTCTTCTTCTTCTTCTTCTTCTTCTTCTTCTTCTTCTTCTTCTTCTTCTTATACTTTGTTCTGCCTACGTTTCTTCATCTTTTTCTTTAGCACCTTATCGTTCTCGTTTGAAAGTTAGCTGAGCTGGTACCTCCCACGCTGCTTTTACTATCGATCCAAATATATTCTTCTTTAAGGCGCTTTTCAAATTTATATCGACCGCCAGAAACTCTTTTTCTTTTTATTTAAGACGATCTTTCTTCTTTTCTTCTCTTTCTATTCTTTTTCCTTCTTTCTTTCTTTTGTCTTTTTCTTCTTCTTCTTTTTTTTTTTTTTTTCTTTTTTTTGCAAAGAAAAAGTTCCGTTGAAAACGAAAAATAAACGTAAAATCTTGGGAATTTTTGAAACGGAGGAAAGAAAAAATAAACGAGAAAGAAAGAAGATAAAAGAAGAAATTTCTTTTGGATTTTTTTTCGTTTATTCCCTTTCATCGAATTCTCGGCTAAATCATTCTAATTCATTCCAATTTGTTAACGATCGTTTCTCTTCTCTCCTTTTTCCTTCCCTTTCTATCCCTTCGTTCGCGTAAACGAGTCACCAAGGACGAGTTTTCGCGAGGATAATGGAAAAACTTTGGCCCTCGTTGCATCGTCGTATACACATAGCTTTTCTATTCTTTTCAACACGAGCCCAACATCGGTGATAACGCCGTAAACGTTGTCGAGAACAATGTCTGTGTTTCAGGTTGGCATTGATGTAGGAACTCACGACGACGACGGGTGCGCATTCCATTTTCTAACGCTTGACGGAAAGCGGAGACAATCGTGTACGTCACCCGATATTTTACACGACACGGTTGTGTCTCTTTACGAAAGATGTCTTTTTCCACCAACCATATAAATATTCTACCCGAGGAATTTATTTATTTTGCCTTTCTATTCTTTTCTTTTTTTTTCTTATTTTTTTTTCTTTTTTTTTTCTTTCTTTTTATTTTTTTTTTCTTTTTGTTTTTTTTTTTTTCATTATTTCTTGCATCTACCAAAAATATATATATATATATATATATATATATATTCATACACACATACACATACATACACATATATTTGATACTATAATCAATTATTATCATTTGAATTCTAATTAACGTTTCACTTGTATATGGGCGAAATATTAATTACTATAAAATAAATTAACTTAGTCATTTATATATAGAATGAGAGTTACTAATTAGTTATTGAAAATTTGAAACAAAGTTTGAACTTTCATTTAAAATCAAATAAAGAAAAAAAAAAAAAATGAGATGAAAAAGGCAAAAAAAAAAGAATGTCGTATATATTAAAACGTTGAATATAATGAACGAAGGTTGTCAAGTTGAAAATATGTCTGTATAGAAATATTGTTTTTTATCATGGATATAATTTTTCTTCAAATAACAAAACTAAAATATCGTTTCAGGTTATCGGTTCACCCTATATATCTGTTGTTACTCACGGAAACATGATGAAAAGTTGATAAAATTAAAGCGACCGGAAAAGGTGAGTAGCACATTGTATTCGAGAGAGAGAAAAAAGGAGAGAGAGAGAGAGAGAGAGAGAGAGAATTTACTTTCGGACAAGTTTTTACAGCGTCGACCATATCGCACAGTTTTCCACACTTTTCCCTTTGGAGCTCTTGGACCCTTTTTATTATTCCTTTTATACCTTTTTGCGGATCTAAATCTTAGCGGAAACATTCACGCTCTCTTTTATCTTTATCTAAGACTATGCTTTTGTTCGCCATAGGAAAAGTTTTACAGAAAGATTCTCATGCCTCTCTTGAATTTCTTAATGTCTTCTCTAATTTATTATACTATTTCGTGAGATTTCATTATTGGTAAAAAAAAAAAAAAAGAAAAAAAAAAAAGAAGAATACGAAAGGAAAAAAAGAAAAGAAAAAGAAAAAAAAAAAAAGGAAAACTAGAAAACTGTAGTTCGATTCGATTTAAACAAAAATTTATATTTCCGATCGAACATTTATGAATTAATCAATCGTCGAAGTAATAATAAGAAAGAAAAAGAAAAAGGAAATGAATGAAAATAATAAAGAGAAGAAATAGGAGAAAAATGTTATACGCGTAAAAAGAAATACTTTTGCATCGGGTAAACTCAAGATGAAGTTGTTTAGTAGAACGATAATATTATACCAAGTCGTCCTGTATATAAATGTATATAAATTTTCTATAAAGCTCCATGAGAAAAGTTGTATCTACATTATACATAGACACATACATATATACATACATACATACATATAAACTTATGTATATGTATAATAGATACATGTACCTTGGTTCGCATCTCACTTTTCTCTCTTTTATAAGCGATGTCACGCAGCATCCTTCGTCATTGTCGTAACGTTGGCCTCCTTCTTCACGATCAAAGGAATGAATCAGGACGTGGACGAGGCAAAAGCGAGGGTAAAGTAAAAGAGGATAGGAGCTTTCCCTCCCTCTCTCTTTCTCTCTCTTTCTCTCTCTCTCTCTCTCTCTTTCCTCTTTTTGAGGACCAAATAGATGGTATCACGCCTTACGATGATAATGATACACCGAAAAGTGCAACATTGCATTCCTTTAAAGGGAGAACTTACTGAAAAGAGTGAAAGAGAGAGAAAGAAAGAGAGGATTTTACGATACGAAAATAGAGGCTTCGAGTTTGATCATCAAAGAAAGCATAGTAGTCTTATACCAATGAAAGGAATCCTCTTTTGGAACGATCTTTTCTATCTAAATTTTGTATTTTATTTATTTCTCGTTTTGCCGATAAATAACGAAAAAGTAATGAAAGAAAGAAATCGAATAGTTGATCGGAAGAAATAATTATTTGCATTAGACGTTTCTCCTCGTTTCGATCGATTAGAATAATTATCGTTAACATTGGAGGAACATTAATGTTCCATGTGAGCGATATGTTTAATATGTTTTGTGATCTAATAATGTGCAATGTGTCATATGTTACTAGCTTATGTTACATGGAAATAGTGAATTTCAGTTTAGAGAGACAGAAAGAGAAAGAGAGAGAGAGAGAGAAAGAGAAAGAGAGCCATACAAATAGGTCAGTGATAATTATTTCTTTTTTTTAAATCTATTTCTATAAAAAAAAAAAAAAAAAAAAAAAAAAAAAAAAAAAAAATTAATTGGAATTTTTTTAATGAATATCGATGAATATTTCTTGAGAAATGAAATTTCTCGCGGTATATAAGATCAAATAGCTTTACTTTTCTGCAGAATTTATTTCTTTCTTCGAATGGAGGTACTCGATTAAGGAAAGTATCTGTTTAACATATTCACCATCGATCGACACAAGAAATTATTGCTTTACACAGTTATCCATTGATATATATATATATATATATATATATATATATATATATATATATATAATGTACACATTCACATACTGAATATGTGATAGGAAAAATAGAATGAGAGAAGGAAGCAGTTATACCGCGTTATCGAATTTCCAGGATATTTTTCTTCGGTCTCGATACCTCGAAAATGGTTCGTAGTTGCGTCAGTAATAGTGGTAGTACCAGTAGTAATAGTAGTCGTGAGTGGGTAGTAGTACTGGTAGTAGTATTGTACTTTTACGATTTACATCGTCGACAATGCGATTCGCCGATCGGATTTTCTCACGGGTCATCGCTCGTGGAACCATTGGAAGGGATGTTAAAACATGGCGTAGGATTTGCATTTATACCGATGCTGCTAGAGTCGACCGGCGGCCCTATCTATGGATCATAAATTTATCGTAGTGACCCATGGATTAAACGTGACTTTTCTTTTTCTCTTTATACACACACACACACACATATATATATATATATATACACATTATCTATATCTTTTTCTATTTTTTCTAAAGTCTTTTTTCTTTTTTTCAAACTTAACTAAGTTTCATATAGCCGAAAGTCGAAACGGATATCTCCAACTTTTCGTAGGACGAATTTCTAGAAATTTTCTCTTTCTCTCTCTTGCTCTTTCCTTTTACTTTTAGTCCATTCCTTTGAACGACGAAAACTATTGATAGGAGTAAGTAGAGTACTAGGCAGCAGCAAGCAGGCAAGCAAGCAAGCAAGCAAGCAAGCAAGCAAGCAGGCCCTCGAGATATTTCGTGAGAACTTTGAGAAACGTACGAAAAATAGAGGATCGTTAATTCGCTAGTAACAACGTCGAACACCGATTTCGAATTCCACGAAGGTGAAGTTTCGAGCTGTCGTCGCATTTCGATAGATATAGAGAGAGGATGAAACGACCTGTTACGATTCAACTACTCGACTCACCCGTAGTAACAAGATTTTTATCGGTTTTTTCTTTTTATTTTCTTTTTCTTTCTTTCTTTCTTTCTTTCTTTCTTTCTTTTCTTATTCTTCTTTTTTTTTTTTTTCTTTTTTTTTTAACATATCACGATTCTACATTAGTTAATATTATAATTAACGATAGAAACGTGGTCAGTAATAGGATGAACCATACTGACGATAATCATAATAACAATAATAACAACAAAATCAACAACAACAACAACAACAACAACAATAATGTTAAGAAAAAATATATCTCTGATAATGGGATGGAACGTGACATGTTACCGCATCAATTCATATCGCGTGATGCGTTTCCTCAATGTCCATTTTCTTTTTTTTCCTCGTTCCTGGAATATTAAACGCTGATTTTGCGATAGTGATCTTAAGAGGAACGACATTGACGTACGATCGCATCGAATTTTCTCGTGCAAGCTGTTCTCTCTTTCTCTTATTACTTCTCTTCCTCTCGCTTACGCTTTATCATGAAATATGTGCCGGAAGAAATCTGCTCGCGTGGTTCGCAACTCGCGAAGAATTTCCGCGGTTCTTCGCTCTATTTAAGAGATCTTTGAGAGTTCGTGCGACATAATTCTTCAAAGTTCATTCGGAACAAACGGAAAAATGAATCTTACCGAGCAAATATCTATCGTGAGAAGTACCACTAGCGGCGGATGGGTGGGTGGGTGGTTGAGTGATGGGGGTGAGAATTCTCACGGAAATGTTTCTTCAATAGAAATAAAGCTAAGAGAACACAATGATCGATTTTCGAGTACGTATGTACACAGTACGTTGTGAATTCGTGTTATCGAAAAGTTTCTATTTGCGAGATGGGGTTACAACAACCACTACAATTATTTTCGAGAAACAAACTACATATTATACGTAATTTTTCCGTCAGTCAATGTGCCACTTGTTACATTTCAATATTTATGAACGAATAACTTCTAGGAAAGTTCGGGCCAACCGAACGGCATGAATATTAAAACAAATGCTTGTGTTCTCTCTTCCTCGTTCCTTCTCTCTCTCTCTCTCTCTCTCTTTCTCTCTCTCTTGTAGAAAAGCTAGCAAATTCTCTTTGGACTACGACGACGACGACGTTCTGAAGAAAGTGAAAATCGATCGAAGAAGAACTGTGTATTCGTTGTTTCCACTCTGAAGTTAAGTAAAATCCTCGTACACGCGCGCTCATATACACATACACACACACACACATTCACACATAATATAGTACATTTTTTTTTATAGGACCAACCAATCGATCTCCATCTTTTCTTGATAATAATGAAAAGGAACGTATAAAAAGAGGTACACGTACATGTACTCGCATACATAATGAAGAAGAAAAAATTATTTTTTCTTTAGATAATTAATTGTATTCTTTTGTTTTTAAAGATCAAAATCAATTTTTTTCATTGAGAAGGAAAAAATTAATTCTTCTAAGCTCCATATCGAGAGTATATGTATCATAGTACGTCCAAATTATAATTGTATTTTGAATGGATATCGCAAAAGAAGGCTGTCAAAGATTTTAGATTCTTTTAGATCGAAGTGAATTACGAATGACTTTCGAACATCGACAGACAATTCGTCCATTTTCGATTTGAGATCGAAACGTAAAGAATAAAAAAGAACAGTAAGAGTGATTGAACGAAGGGGAATCGAGACACGTATATATATATAATGTTCTATATATGTATATATACTTATATATAGGGTGTTCATTTTAATTGATCAAGAAGAATATCATTAAAAAGAAAGTGTTTTTATTAAAAATGAAGAATTTGTATGTCAACATTTATTCGAAATGAAAATGGCTGATCATTTTGATTTTTATTTGACAATTCAATGTTTATGTGAATCGATCAATAGGAACACCTTGTATATATGTGTATGTGTGTATATATATATATATATATACTTATATAGAGCAGACTGACCGGCCAGTTCGACCGCTCGGCAAAAAGGCAGGAATGTACAGGATACCACCTTTCTCTCTTTCTTCCATTCTTTCTCTCCTTTTATTCGTTCGTTGGTACGCGCGTCAGCGCTCGTATTGTCCGCTGCTTCGTTTCTTTCTTTCTTTCTCTCTTTCATTCTCCTATCTCTTTTCTCTCTCTCTCTCTCTCTCTCTCTCTCTCTCTCTCTCTCTCTCGCTCTTTCACTCCCACAAGAGAATCGACCAGGCTTTATTCCGGGT